GAATAATCTTCAATTTCTAAAGGTACTAAAGGTTGTCTAATTGCATTTTTTAGGTCAGGTAGGAATTGATAACATTTCTTCTCTTGTTGCAATCAACTGCGGTGCATATCTGGATAGAGTTGTAAATTCTGCTTCACATTTCTTCATTGATTTGTCTTTTTGAATCGGTCTTATAAATTTATCCTGCATCTGCCTCATTGCTGACATAGGTACGAACCTTTCTCTAAAAAGTTATACAAAGTCTTCCCAGTTGACCAGTAAATTTTTAATATCTCCTAGCCTGTCTTTACGTTGTCCTCTCTACCACTTTTATGCTTTTCCATCCAAGATAGAGGTAGCGAGTGACACTTTTCTTTCATCAGGACATGACATGCTATCCAGAATCTTTTCTATACGGAGCAAGCAATTATCTACCTCAATTGGTCCCTCATTACCTTTGAATAATAGTGGTCGCATGTCCTGAAACAACTTTAGATATTTATCCACTCCAACTACAAGTTATGATCTTGATTTTTGAAGCATTTGGGTATAACCGCCATCATCTAGGTAAAGGTATTGGTGTTTACTATCACTTCAAGTGGTAGTTCTTCTTCTTTCATATTTTTATTGATTACATTGTCTTGATCATCAGCATACCTGATATATTTATAAATTTAATTAATTGTATTATCTAAATGAATATTTAAATTCTCAAATAAGTTTATAAATCATTCTTATAGCTCTTTCATTACGATTCAAATTCCTAAGAAACTCCTTGTGCTCTAATACCACTCTTGTCCGAACTCGACCCGAAGGCTCAAATAAACGAGGCGGGAATAGACGGTCGACGATAGATTAAATTTTTTAATTCATCTAAAACTATCTCAATAAATTTTGAAAGAACCACTAAAACTTCAAATAAGAATATAAACTGATACAAAAAAAATCATTCAATTACCTTTCATTCTGTGTCTCACGTCTAAGGTACACATTTTTGCATCTTCTACTCATTTTGATTATAATAAACTTACCTGAAAGAAAAGTTATAGCAACTAACAGTAAGTCACAGCTTAGTAAGTAAAACATACATTTAAACTATAGTAACTCAAGATAATTTGAAAACAAATATGCATAATCTTTTAATTATATCAGTTCATTTTGAGACTTTTTCATTTCATAACTTTCGATGTTAAGCATAAATCATTTCTTTCATACATATCATATATGTATTTATATATTCTCATTTATCATAAATAATACAACCGTCACAAGAGTCACCGTCTAATTTGGTACCAATAAAGGTACTCATTTACTATTTCATTTTCTTTTTTCTTTTTTATGTGCATGGGTACATTGTATCCCCAGCCATTACCATAAGGGGGTGTGCTCCATCAGTCAACATGCACATACAAGCATACTATATCATATCATTTCATTTTACTTTTTTTTTCATATCTTATCATATTGAATTTTATAATAAATATCATGATAACATAGGATAAATGATATCTTTTAATTTAACATGCTCAATTGTTTATTATAAAGAAAAATCATGTAACATTAACAGCGAGCAAATAGATAAGAATAATACTTGATATATCATGTAGAGGAGAAGCAATATCATTACTGTAATTAAAAGTCATGAGTACTCACCTTAAATGTTTCCAAGCTTTAATATTTTCCTAAGCTCAAGCTTTGCGGTAGATTCCAATACTCGTCTCAACTTAATTATAAAAAATCTTCCATGGTTCAAATAACATTATAAGATCTTAAACTTTCAACTTTGTGTTCTCAATTACAAAGTAACATAAATGATTCCTGTACTTCTTACTATGATAACCTAATTAATTCAACAAAGAGAGTTCTAATTCATCTCAAAATTTCTACTACCCAACATTAATCATCATTCATTTTCATTAAGATAGCATTTTATTATCATTAACATAGCATTATAATTCATCTTACATAATCATTTTTGGATTTTTCTTTAATTAAAATTTGGGGAAAATAAAAAAAATGTGATAAACCCTAATTTTTACCCTTAAAAGCATTCCTAAAGCTTTTAAGAATAACATTTGTAAAAGCACTTTCAAAGAAATTACGTTTTCGAAAAAGCCCTAATTTGGAACTCTTACAAACTATTGAGAAAATAAGAATTTTGGTTTAGAAAATCATTATTAAGCTTTTCCAAACATTCCCTTTCTAAAATTTTAAGCATTTGGAAAAACCCTAGATTTTCAACATAAGAAATATAAATGAAAACAAAGAGATTTCAATTTAGAAACTCACATTTTTCTTCTTTAAGCTCTTCCCTTCAATTTCCTCTAAGATTCACAGTCGGAAACCGCCCTAAACTGCTCCCAGAAGACCTTGCCTGCCGCCCCTTTCTCCCTCATTGTGTTCTGACAAATGCACAATGAAGGGACCGAAATGTTTCGGTCCCTTTTAGGCCTTTAGGGCGGTGAGGGAAAAACCAAATGATGCATGTACCCTTAAATGAATAAATTTCATTTAGAAAGGAAAGGGCTATTTAGTCATTTTTCTTTAAATACTTTTTTACGATTTTTAATTTTAAAACCGTGTAAAATTAACCCTAAATCCTTTATATCAAATTGATCTAAATTTAATGTAGAATTTTATAAAAATTATTTCGTCAAATTCTGACAACTTCAAAAATTTGCCTATTTTTGTCGCAGTGCATCTCAGCTCCCCGCGACACTATGATTCGACATTTTCGGGTTTTACAATTAGATCTATAAATTTATGGGAGTAAACTTTAAATATTAGAATTAGAGAATATTTTGAATTAGAGATAAATTATTAGTATGACAATGAGAATATCATTATATAGGTATTAAGCTAACAATAATAGAGTGGTGACTAAAGCAAAATTTCAAGACTTCTGATTCGAGGTGAGTACTCATTTTTTTAAATTTCAGTGATGATTTTATTTTCTCTCAAATTAAATGCATTGAAAAATAGTGATACATGTTTATTTATTTATTTTTGCAAGTTAGATCATGATTTATCTTTCTCATATTTAATGATTGGTCATTTTGAATTAGATGATTATTAATATATTCTGTTTCACATTACTTTACAAAGTTAATGAGTGTTATATGAATGAAATGGCTATATAGACATGCTTATTTGTACATGATTTATTGATGGATCACACCCTCTTATGGTATTGGCTGAGAACATAATGTACCCACATGCGTGAAATGAAAAAGGTTTTAGAAAAAGTTATGGAAAAGGAAATGAAAAATGAAGTACATTCATTTGTACTATTTTAGATGGTGTCTCCTGTAACGGTTGTATTAGTTATAAAAATGATAACGATAAGATATACATGTGTAATATATAAATATGCATAACATCTCATGGTCATTCTCAAATAAATTTCAAATTAAATTATTTTATGTTTTGTAAAGAGTATGCATGTTTTTTTCAAATTATTTTGTATTATTATAATTTAGAAGTATCATATACTCACTAAATTGTGTTATCTCACTCCATATTTACAAATGTACACAAGTATTATCCAAATAGTTTAAATGAGTGGTAGATGAGAGAATGTGTAGCATAGGTGCATTGCTCCAAAAGAAATTTATCTTATTCAAAATGGATTTTGAGAGCTTGCATGAGATGCTTTTATCCGGAATGTATCAGAAACTTGTATGGTAGATATTTCACAGTCAGCTTTTGTCACACCCCAGTTTGGCTTACCCTCTAACAAACAAACTGGAGTATAACAGAGAAGGAAAGAAATTTACTTAGGCTCTCCTAACATGTCAACCTATCAACTCCAAACATCGTAATGGAAGCATATAATGTACTCACTGAACATTAAACATAATTAAAACAAATACAAAGCTCTACTAAATCTTTTGAAATTTACTTACATACCAAAAGGTTTATACAGCTATCCTTCAGATCTCCTCTAAGAGCACCATTCATGACTAAATAATAATATGGTTAGAGCACCTTTCACATGGATCACAAAAAAAATATAACAGTACACTTTCATTTTTGTTAATTGTTCAACACCCTTTTTAATATATTATATGATGACTATAAGCTTTTGCACCCTTTCAGCTTTCCAATTCAAGGTTGGGTCTAGATTCCCAACTTTTAGAATTGAAGTTGTTCTCTCAATTCAAGGTTAGGTCCAAATTCCCAATTTCTAGACTTGAGAGTATAGGCTTATCTCGTTAGGTCTTTCGCCTTTACTTGTGCGGGCTTATCCCCCAACATATGGCTTAAATCACCTTCCTAATAGTAATCATTTTTTTTCCTCATGACATATGCTAGTATACATAATACTTTACGAATAATCATAGTCATGAATAAGCTGAAATAAATTGAAGAAAATTAAAATAAATGCTATCAACCATAATAGATATGAATAGATATGAATTGCAATCAAAGAAAACAATTATTAATTTCTATAGCATTGTAAGGTATCTCACCTCCCTTGAAATTCGTTCTTCTTGTTCTTGTTTCCTCCTCCTTTTATACCCTTCCTCAATTGAATTCTTCATTCGACCAAATTCTTTTCCTAGACTCATAATATAGATATTCTTAATTCCACTAAGCTCTTGCATTCCACTAAGCTTTAATGCTAACCGTTGGATGGACTAAGGAAAAGATCAGCCAATGCATGCTAACCTAAGTGGAATCCTGGAATTTAGAATCTGAATTGCATTAATTCTTCATATACATAATACTTGGATTTGAATTAACTGTTTTAATCATAATAAGTTAATTATAATCAGTTAAATACATTAGCTACATTAGCTGTACCATTAGTACAATTTATTAAATTAGATTAATACTTTATGCATACTTCCATATGTCAAACTACTCGATTTTAAAAGTAGAATTTAATGAAAATCAATATACATTTAGAGAAAGTATGTACTTACATTTATTTCGAATATTTGGGTATTATAGCTTTTGCTTGACAATTATGGCTTTCTTTTCTGATCTCTTTGCTTCCATTTGATTACCTTTTGCAGAAAAGCTTGTCATCTTTGGAGCTTCCAAGGGTTCTCTCAGTTGCTAATGGGACACCAATGCAGGGCTCACCTAATGAGGTTTCTTCAATTTATGATTCTATGAGGGTAGATGGAATTACCGCAAGTGGTACCTCGAGTGCTTTTGAATACAGGGGAAGACACCGGCGCAAGACCCATGACCCTACTCATGACCTTTCCATTCATGTTATGGAAAAGTTCTCACTCGTGACTAAGTTTGCCCGGGAAGCAACCACACAACTTTTTGGTGAATTTCATGAAAGTCACGAGCTTCTCCATGACAGAAAGCAGAAAGATAGTTCCCCGCTGGATTCCGGAGTGGTTAGTCAGCCTAATGATACGCAATCAAAGGCGGATAACATTGTGGCAACATCAGATTCGACTGAGGTAATTCCTAGTCTTAAGCTAAGCCTGCAGACTTCTCTGCACGCTAGAATAGGCATTTGTTTTCAATGTCGGATTCTGATTCACAATTTTCATTTGTTGTCTTTGTGGTTGTTATAATCACTTTAAAAAAATTATGTAATTTGAACCAATAAGAATTGAGAATACCTTACCCTAGTAAATTGTTACATTTTTCTCTGATTTGTCATAATAATCCTCGACATAAGATATAACACAAAACTAGGATAACTTTCTGTGATTGTTAAATGCATAACCAATCAGTTAATTGAGAAATATTGTTTTTGAGTGCAGATTGCAGCTCATTCATTTGTCCGTTCTTACCTTGATTTCAGAAATGATTGTGTTGATTGTTAATGCCGCATCTGCATTAAAAGGAAATGCATATCTTGCCAGATGACATAGAACATGCCAACCAAATTATTGGCTTCGCAGAGCAATGAAAGTTTCTAGCGGCTATTTTATTGCAGTTGAGATTTCCCCACTTGTCTCGGAATCTCTGTCTAGTCCCAGGTTTTCCTCATCTAGGGATTTCTTTCCCTTCTCTATAGGAAACACTACTGAAGGTTCAACCTATTCTATCTCAGAAAGTAGTCTATATCTACCAAGAATTTCACCATTTACAATAAATGAGGCTCAACTTCATAGAAAATTCCAAGAAGTGCACAATTTTCTCTATCTCAAAAGAATATTCATTTTATTCTTTTTTTTTTCTTAATAATCAAAATTACGGTAGAGTTACATGGAAAGTACCTAAAGAAAACAAAATAAGAGAAGTTGGGCATTAGGGCTGTAATATGTCCCGTCTTCATTTCGCTGCATAAGCAGCTCAATTGTTTGGAATGGGGGGTTGAGGTAACACTCTCATCTTCTCAAATCAGCCAAGCCATGTTGCACCAATTTGTTATTAGGGAAAATATATTCCATTTGCTTACTCGTAAGTGGGCTTGTTAGATAGGTTTCCAACATTTAAAATATGATAGCGTAAGTGATGCGGACATCCGATCATGAAGATTTTCAAAGGAGACGACGATTGACGGCCGAGATCATTCCACCTTATCTTAATTTGTTATTTGTAATTTTTATTTTTATTATGAATTTTTTCATTTTTACCCTTACTTAAGAGGGTCGTCCTATGTAAGCCCTAGGGGCATATGTGTCTTGTTTTAGTTTCTTAGGCCTATATATAGAGGCCCTTGCTTGTGTAATGTAATGTTGGATGATTAATAAAATTTTGTATTTGCATTTGTGTTCTTTGGGAAGAACCTTGAGTGAGATTCTTATGGGAGGAATTCATAGCTTCCACCAGCCGTAGGATGTGTCCGGGCTCGTGGCCTGAAGTCCCTTGGTGAAGGGTAACACAATACCCGTCACCCCCCCTCCCCCGCGCCAACCTCCCTAGCCGCCGGTCTCACCAAACTGTCGGCCACCTTCTTTCCCCTTGGCTCCGCAAATCTCCCTTTACATTCAAAGCCCTTTCCTATTTTAGCCCTTCTAACTTAGTAACAAATTGAAATTTAAAATTCACATTAATTTGAATATGAATTTTGTTTCTAAAATTAGGATTCTTATTTTATGAAAGTATTTGAATTAGGTCCAGTTAATTATTTAATTGGATGTGATTTAAATATTTCTCTCTAATTTAAGGTTCGAATCAAAGTCCTTTTTAATTCTCTTTCTATAACCTCTCCTCCCCCTTTTAACGCCGCCGACCCTCCCCCTTCTTCCTCTTTGCCTCCAAAATTTGAATTCCCCTTTGATTACCTTCCTTTTATCAAACTATTTAAGTTAGGAAAATATTTGAGTTCAAATTCTAAGTAATTTTGAATCTGAAATACCTTCCTAATTTAAGATAGCCTATTTTAGGAAAGTTACTTAAATTAAATCTAATTAGGTTTCTAATTGAATTTGATTTGATTTAATTATTCTTAATATTTTGATCTCAATTAAAGCAAGAAATTCAAATCTCAAATGTTCCATTTTTTCCCTTCTTTTTCTGCATCAGTACGTTACTATTCTCTACTTGTGAATAGAACGCACCTGATACATGATTGCAGACTTAAACCAAACTCTCCAGTTACTAATGGATAAGTAGTTACTTCGATCTTGCACTTACAAAGATACTATAACAATCTTGTAAAAAAGTCTTCTTGTCAAGATGCATTCTTATTTCTTATACGTATAAAATGTGCCTGTTTAGATAACCAGTATGAAGAATAAACTTTATATCTTTTTGGTATTTTATTTTGGTTCAAATTTCTTGTATTCTAAGTCAATTCTGATTAATAAAATTTCTTAATTTTACGCAAGCATATTCTTGTCCTAAAAAGAGGTTAATTAAACCTACTTTTTTTTAAGTTTCTTATTGATTTGTTACCTTTTTCTCTAGCAAAATAATTTTTCCGGTAACCTATGATTTATGTTTTCAGGTTTAATGAGTAATTTGTATGTCTTTTTGACAGCTTGACAAATTATCACTTGTATGGGGAAAGCCAAGGCAACCTCCTTTGAACCATGAAGAGGTAAATTCATACATTCTAACGCATTCATGTGTAGTTGTATTGGCTTGTGATCATTGAAATCAATGATTATGCACGTGCGCCTACTCTTAAATATTTTATTTATTGTTCACATAGAGTAAGCAATTTGTATGGGATCTTACATCCTCATGAAATCACCACAACTTTTATCATGACAATTTACTTAATAAGCATAGTTTGAAGTAGCTTCCAGAAACACAAGTATTTGAGGATGAATACCATATTAGCATGATGTAAAGGTCTATGGCTTTGCTCTTTTTGGTTCTTATATTTAGAGAATTTTGGACCAAATAAATTTTGCTTACCTGATCCAAAGGTGTTTTCCTATTGAACATTGTCAGCTTACTTGTTTCATTTTAATTTTTTAATACATAAGTTAGATGTAACTTTATGCATGAAGTCTTGATGCAATACGATTCTCAAATAGCCATTTATGAGTATTGCTAATGATGTCTAGGAGGTGCTAAGCTTCTTTCATCTGAATTTCATTTGTTTTGTTATGTTTTTGTGGGCTCCGAAAATTCGGCCCCGGCCTCCCCGCCTTTTCTCTTTATTCGGCGAGGGAGTTTTAACTGAATAAGTTCCGAGGTAAATTTTGGATGGCAGATGGGTTTGTAGATAGCACTACCCAAAGATTTCGCCCTCATTTTGTGAGGACTTTATGATCTGAGTTCTGGTTTCCCATAGGCGCAAGCCCCTATAGTTAATTACCCCTCCTGATAATGAGAGAGAACTTTCGACTAAGGCTAGTCGTCAATCAGATACGTAGAGAGATACGTGTTATCTAGCATATAGTAGCAGCATGAATTAGGTATTTGAAGAGTTTGGAAGTTTGGGAATTTGAGAAATTTGATATTTAAAATAGAAATTGCACCATTCTGCACTTAAAGCGGATGGTGGGGGAATGGATGATAGACCCAATCAAGATCCCATGATTCCGTCATCCCGGGCCATCGTAGTCCCTAGTCTATTTAGTCATAGGAGGTAGTCGACCCAACCTGACAGAAGGATCCTTGTCGGCAGCCATGGGTTGCTTCGTCCAAGGGGACCTTGTAGACCTGGGATGGGTATTTGCCTAAGGGGACAAAATTAAATCCACCTTAGCTAACAGAGGGTTTTGTGCCCTATTAATCATATCCTATTGATTCACATCTCAAGGATTTGATGCCAATAAGGAATGTAACGGCACTGGCCATAACCGGTATTTCGTGGTGCCATTTGGCGGCAAAACCACTCGGTTCAGAGGGCCCCGGGTCATAACCGTTTATCCTGCGAACTCTTCTAGTGCTGCCGTATACAGTATAAGAGGCTTCCCCGGAATTGGCGCTGCTAAAATTGGAGGATTTAACAAGTTTTTTGATACTATCAAATGCTTCCTGGCATTCTGCGTCCCATTTGAAACGGATATCTTTCTTCATTAGCTTTGAAAATGGCTGGCACCTACTCGATAGATTTGATATAAATCTCCGAATGAAAGCTAGTTGTCCTTGCAGCGAGCAAAGTTGTCGAAGGTTCCTTGGTGGTGGCATCTCCGTAATCGCCTTAATTTTATTGGGGTCGATCTCTATACCTCGATGACGAACAACATACCCCAAGAATTTGCCGGAGGAGACCCCAAAAGCATATTTGAGAGGATTCATCTTCAGATCAAATTTTCTGATTCTCTCAAATACAATTTTGAGATCTTTTAAGTGATTATTTCGGTCAAGACTTTTAACAACAAGGTCATCTACATAGCACTCGACCTTCTGATGTGTCAAATCATCAAATATGTGAGTCATCGCCCGCTGGTAGGTGGCACCAGTGTTCTTCAGGCCAAAGGGCATGACTGTGTAGCAGAAAATGCCGATGAGCGTTCTGAACGAAGTGTGCTTTTCATCTTCATGAGCCATCTTAATTTGATTTTATCCAGACGATCCGTCCATGAAGGAGAACATATCATAATTTGACGTGTTATCTACTAAGAGTTCTGATACGAGAAGTGAAAAATCGTCTTTTGGGCATGCCTTGTTAAGATCCCTAAAGTCAATGCAGTCACGAATCTGTCCATTCTTCTTCTTTACAGGAACAATATTGGCAATCCAATCGGCATACTTTTCTTCTTGAATGAAGCCTGCCTCTATAAGTTTCTTCGTTTCTGCGATCACCTGTTCTTCAATCTCCAATCTCATTCTTCTAGAAGCTTGCTTGACGGGTGCTACATCCGGTTTGATTGCTAATCTGTGAACTGCCACGTCAGGGGATAAAATAGGCATCTCAGCATATGTCCAGGCAAAGCAGTCCCTGAATTCACAAAGAAATTCTTTTATTTCTTATATTCGTTCTTCGGGTAGAAGAGAACTAATGAAGGTTGGGCGAGGGTTTTCCTCAGTTCCCAAGTTGACTTCTTTTAGCTCGTCCATAGTGGCTGCCTGTCCACCATCTTCAAGCTCTTCCGGTGCAGGCTCGGCTTCTACGGGCTGGTCATCATAATTATTAGCTTCATATGTCTCTTTAACACCATCATCCTCAGATTCAATTTCCATGCATGTGATTATCCGGCAAGTCTCTTTTTGGAGGAATTTTTGTTTGATGAATCCGATACCTTTATATACATCTGTATCCTTCCATCGTAGTGGACGTGGATTCCTTCCATACCAGAGGTCCAAGCTTGTACGAAGTTGTCGCTTGGTGGTAGGAATATTGACTTGTTTTCGTAGCATTCTCTGAATATTTTTGGTATTGAACCTAGGTAGCCTCGTAGGAAATAACTCTTCGGAATCGAGAAGCATGCAACACCAGTCATTATTCTCCTATTCGTGAACTCACGTGGAATATAACACATTCTTTGGCACAGTCCCATTTTTAAGGGGAGGCAGATAGAGGGTGGCGAGTTCTTCAACTTTATCCACCTCGCGCGGAATGATTTCCTTGAAGTGTTGTAAGGGAACATGCGTGATTACGAGTACACTATCTGAAATTGAAGATTCAAATGTACTTTTTTTAGAAGAGGATATTCAACAAAGGTGGATGAAATATTTTGCTAAGCTTTTCAATGAAAATTGTGAAAATATGATTGACTTTAGTGACCTTAACACTCTAAATGAAAATTGATATTTTTATTTTTATCGGCGTATTACTAAAATTGAAGTTAGAGAAGCTTTAAAAAAAAATAAGTGTGGGAAAATTGTTGGATTTGATGATATTCCAAGAGAAGTGTGGAAATGCTTAGGAGATGAAAGAATTTCTTGGCTTACTAAACTTTTTAATATTATTTTGAAGACTAAAAAGATGCCAAATGTGTGAAGAATGAGTATGTTGATTCCTATCTTTAAGAATAAAGGTGATGCATAAGATTGTGCAAATTATAGAGGAATTAAGTTGATATGTCATACTTTAAAACTATGGGAGAGAGTTATTGAGCTTAGGTTACGACGTGATACTAATGTTTCTCA